ATATATTTACCGAATGCCGATCAGTATGAAGTGTCGTCCGTTGAAAAGAGACTTCTTTGACTCTACACCGGGGCCTCAATTTGTAATTTCTTTCATATCGATGTTACTCATATTGTGACCGATTTGAACACGTATAAATTTAAATCTGATTTGCAATCTAATGACAACTGTAAACTAGTTAACACAAAGAGCTCAAGAGCATCTTCTCTTCTTGCTATGGCCGTCAAAACTAAAGGATCATCAAATCCAATCGAAAGAGCTGAAATGTATGGAATAAAGGTCGTATTAGTTGAAAATATATTTCAGCGTGATAGCAACAGCGTAAATTGTGAAAGCTTGAACCAACTTAAGATGAGGCCATGATTCTTATAGACTTAAGCAAAGCATTTGACAGTATATGCCATAATACCCTTCTATTCAAGTTAAAAAATTTAGGGACATCACCAACGGCCATCAAGTGGTTTGCAAGTTATCTCACAGATCGGCAACAGTATACTAGGGTTGGTACGTCTTTATCTGACCAATTGACAGTTACTCACGGGGTTCCTCAGGGGTCCATACTGGGACCTATGCTGTTTGGACTGTACATGAATGATCTGCCCTCTGTGGTCAAGTACAGTCATGTTGAGTCATACGTTGATGATACGAAGATCTATCTGTCATTTGCCGCAAAAGACGTTGACTCATGTTTGTCTCAAGTAGAAGAGGATCTGCGACGCATTGCAGAGTGGTGCTGTGCTAATAGTCTCCTTATTAACCCTGACAAAACAAAATTCATTGTCTTTGGAACACCACAGATGCTTGCTAGGGTATCAGGTCTATGCGTTCCATTCTTGGGTCAAGACCTTTTTCCAGAACCTTTTGTGAAAGACCTTGGGATCATACTTGATTGTAACCTGTCATTCAATCAGCATATTAATACACTTATGTCATCTCTTCTTGGCAGCCTCTGCAGGATAAACAGAGTTCGCCATCTGTTCACTAAAGATACCCTCCTCACGATTCTGAATTCCCTAGTTTTTAGTAAACTCTTTTACTGCTCTACTGTATGGTCTGGTACTTCAAAACAAAACATCAATAAACTACAACTTTTACAGAATTTTGCAGCTAGAATCTTGACAAACACTAGAAAATATGATCATATTTCGCCAGTTCTAAAAGAGCTAGGTTGGATATCCATCAATAACCAGTTGAATTTAAGGGATGCTTGTCAAGTTTTCAAAATAGTCAATAGACTCGCCCCACAATATCTATGTGGAAAGATAAGCAAAAGATCTGAATCACATACCTATAACATGAGATATAAAGACAATCTTAATATTCCTATGTGCAGAACTTCTACCGCGCAGCGTTCCTTTTTCTTCAGGGCGCTTAAGTTGTGGAATGACTTAAAGATATCGAAAGAACATAGTTCACTTAAGTCCTTCAAGAGATCTTTAAGATACATGATGTCATGATCCTACCCCATTAGTATTTATATCTTTAATAATAATTGTAATTTTTATAATTATTGTAAATTATTATAAATAGGAAATTTTACTCTTAATCATCATTGTAATTTTATCAGTTTGTACTTATGTAAATTTGGAAACTATTGTAAATTAGGCATGAAAAGCCATTTTTGGATTGCTTAATAAAATTATTGTATTGTATTGCAGGACCATACACACGATCGAGGGCAGAATTACGTTAGAAAACTAAGGGATCCTTTCATAAAAGTAGAAGACAAAAGTCGATTGTATCGTCCACTAGTACTTGAAATGAAAAGCTGGCCATGTCATATTGATACATTATTACAAGAAACCACGAGTGACGAATGCAGGAGTTGGAACTATCAGAAAAAGAAAAAAATGACCAAGAATTTAATAAACTACTGTACATTGTGTAAAAGTCATTTTGCACCAGTTGCATTGGATGTAATGTTTAAAGTCCGACAATGAGGACTGGACGGGGTTTCAAGTCCGCGCAATTAGTTCCAGTCCGAGGAGGGGAAAAAAGCGGAGGAAATACATATAACAGAATTATATTGATTTATTGCATCTCCACCAAGGTTTTTCGTTTTCATAATTTTGAATAAAGAAGCACTATTTGTTGTTTTCCAATTCCCGAACGGCTTTCTGAAACAAAAGCTTTTCAAATTGTCTTTGTTTGCTTTTCATGGCATTCCTAATGAGCCTAATTCATAAGTTTTATAARTATGTAATCTTCCAAGGAATCGCATCAGAAACTCGGTGGTGTAATGGTATAAGACGGCACATATAGACTGGACGGTTCGGGATCGTTTCGTGAGGGAGTCATTTATCAAAGACTTTTTTTCACTAAATTGATTCTATATTAAGTTGATTATTTCTAATACTTTGATTATCATTAGCTAGTAGTAGTTAGAAAAAGCTAGAAGTAACTAGAAACAAGGTAAGAGTAACTGGAAATAAGATAGCAGTAACTAGAAACAAGGTAGAAGTAACTGGAAATAAGGTAGAATACAAGACAGGAGTAGTTCCGCTAGTATCCAGTTACTGCACGTGGTACAAATTACAATCAGGGATTGGCTAGATACCTCATGAATAATTAATGAGTATGAGAATATCATCTTAAAACAAATGAACATATCGCAAATGCAAATAATGATGACAATTGGATTGGCGTTGACACTTTGATAGACAATCTACCATCAGTTGATGACTATGTCAAAAAGATAACACAAAAGTTGGCTTAAAGAACTTTTTCTATGAAGCAAAAATTATAGTTGATATGAATTATATGATCGTTATTTTAAAATTTATTTTGTAATGTGTACCACAAATTAAATATATAGTTTGCACAAAAATGTAATCAGGTATCTATTATTATTGATGATATATAACTTACTATTAGTATTATTGGTTATTATTTTTTCCTTCAATAATTATTTTGCAGCAAGCAGCTTTAAAACGAACACAAGATTTGTTGATTTTTCAAAGATGACTAGTGTTGAAGGTAAAGAACATATCCAGGATGCGACCGACAGGGTACACGGGAAGATAAGTGATATGACCTGAACGCGTAAAAACGATCCATACTTATGAAAAATTGTAATTCACATATTTCCAATTATTTTAATATCACTAATATACAATTTTTGCAGTTCACACAATGAAATGTTGCAAAAACGACTGTTTGTCGCATGTTTATCTTGCCGACATTTTGCTGGGAAGAAAACGGTTTGTACAGATGTCATCATTTAACCAGAAACAGTGGATCCTCGATTACCTGTCGGATCATGCTAGGTATTAAATTTGATATTAATTTGCATTGCTCTTTATGAAAACAGATGACTGTCATTTGTGACACAGTACATTTATAATATGCATTTATTGCGAGTCCTGGAGCCGGTTTTACGAAAAGTGAATAGCGCTATCCACCGAATGAGGTAAATGAAATGCATAACTTTATCTAGCCTTCGTACATAACCGGACCCAGGAACACGAATATATGTTTTATATGTTTTTGTTTTTCGTTTTTGATATCACCTATTTTTTTATATCTTATAGGGTTGGCAAGTACGATGGCATAGTTTTCATTGTCCAAGGCTATAACGTTTGTAAACTTGCATGGTGTGCCATATATGGCATTGGTGAAAAGCGACTGTCAATTGTTTTCGGTGATTTTTCAAAAGGCACGAGGAGGTATGAGAAAGGAGGAAGTCATTTCCTGAAAAAGTATTCACTCAAGAGTAGAACTGTCATAGCATGGATGGAGATTTACTTCAAACGAATAGGTGACAAGATACCTGACAGTTTGTCTATTCACCTTCCAAGCTACCTTGTCCGTAGAACACTTTATAGATACATGTGCGAAGACTTTGTTGAACAGAAAGAAACAGCCGCATTATCATATTCAAGATTCTGTGCAATCATGAATGCAGAATTTCCCGATGTTTCCATTCCAAAAGTAAGTTAACACTAAAGATGATTTTGATCCCCTTGTATGTTCCAACATCCAACAATAGTAATCGTTAATAATGAATATCTAATGATTTTATCAATCAGTAACAGAAACCTATAGGAAGTTGGACTCATCCCGTATAGGTTTCTGTCAGTAGCGAATTGATATTATTCAATACTTAACTATCATTTCTAAATAATCAATAATTTTTCCGACAGGTTAATCGCCTTACCAAATGCGATGTTTGCACAGTTCTTAAGGATGAGAAGGAGAAAACAATGGATGTAACTCTGAGAAATTATTATGATGCACTTTTACAATTCCACAATGACTTGCAAAGGTGAAATGTCTAGAAATCAGCAGTTATTAAGATTTATTCTGATGTATGATTATTATCATTGTATCGTTACTAATAGTGAAGAAAGAGCCAAGTACTATAAACATAGAGGGAAGGCAAAAGATGTTAATTACCGAAAAAAGTACATGTGTGTGATCATCGATGGAATGGATCAAAGTAAACTGTTGCTTCCGTCATTGCTGCGGACTGCTAAGGTATATTCAAGTGCATGGAGACTTAAAACACATGTTACAGGTAATGCAGAATGCATAATGTCAATCCATATTTATACTTTCAGAATATATTTGTCAATCTATTATTATTTTTTTGATTAGGTGTGCTTAATCATGGAAGAGAATTTGGCTTTGGTGGATATAAATCAGTGGCCACATGATTCCAATTTTACGATGAATATTCTGCTATCAACCATTTCCAGCCAGCAGCATATCCCTGATTATTTATATCTGCAAATGGATAAYTGTTGGAGGGAAAATAAGAATCAATTTGTACTAGTATTCCTTGCAGTCTTGGTACAACTGAATATTTTTAAAAAGGTAATTTGAATTATTACTGTATAAAACGATGGGTATGACCCGATGATAATTTTATGATTTACAAAATTGCAGTCAATAATTATAAGCTACGATATTTTATTGGATGGGAGATATCAAGAAAAGTTAAAGCATTTAAAATTTAAAGACTATACAAAGTATAGTAATTGTGAATGTACATTGACCTTTTAGGTAAAAGTTAATTTCCTTATGGTTGGGCACACCCATGAGGATGTAGACCAGCTTTTTAGTCGCATAAGACAAAGGATTTTCAACAAGATGTTAGGTTTCTCCCTGGTATGTAAAATAAGCATTCTATATATACTCAGTTTGCTGAAAAAGGCCGAAGTGCCGAAACGTTCAATAAAAAGTAGAAAACCTAGTTACAAGTTGCGTGGCTTTTTCTTCATTTATTCTATTTATACATATGCCATCATATATACATGACTGACAATGTGACGTCTCAGTTTTTGGTATGACTATTTCATATAGCTTTCTCTCCCTTTTCTAGAACTATTAGAAGCTATTGCAAGATCCTCATCGCCTACTACATGTGTTCAATTGATTACAAGTATGTTTAATATAAGAGAGTGGGTTGAGCCAGCAAGAGTGGAATTGCACAATATCTCCAACGCCCATTGTTTTGTAATCAAGCGATCTACTGGGCCAAATTGCGAAGTCGTCCTCAAATACAAGCAGTGGTCTAGAGACAATGAGTGGTTGCCACCTGGATCTGGGATTCCTGTATTAAAGGTATACAGAATAATAGATAATAAAAGATATCCATGCAGTGCAAGTAGCGAGGTTGGCGAGAACAAGTAAATACCCCTCGCATTTTGTTCCTCTAAACATAAAGTTTTCCCAATTTTGTTACAGCCAAACGTGACACCTCAGGGATTACCTACATTTTGTGAGCCATCACCGGATAAAGTCGACTTGGAAAGACTAAAAAGGGAAATTCCCAAATTCTACGAGTCAAGGAAATTTGATGAGAGCCACAAACAATGGTGGGATGACTTTCTAAATAATCGCCATGGTTATTATAGTCGTCCAGGACAGCATCTAGCGGAATGGCCTCTACCGAATATTATTGAGAAAAAAAATCAGCAACAAGAGAGCGAGTCAGGTGATCAAGAACAAGAAATCGGGATATTAGGAATACCACGCCCCACAAATGTGCCTTTAGAAGTAGAACAGCACGTTTCTTCCCAGCTCGACAGCATACCTGAGGTTAGTACTTTCAATAAAATCGACTACAATATTACTCAGTGAAAAAATGAGCCAGGACTTGAGACTTGTGTTGAATATTGACTGTAAATATAATGTAATCAAAAACTGAATTGACACCTTATCGAACTTGAAAACGATGACAGAAAAATCTTAGGACAACATCATTTGGTTCTTAGGTTTCATCCAAGTAAGAAAAATGACTAAACATGATATACTTTAATTTTTTTCCATTTTAATATTTTTAGTTAATCACCAAGTATCATAAAGTCATTATGCTCCTTTTGACATTTGATAATGTTGAAAACACGACGTTCCTGTTCATCTTTATTATTAGATATACACCGGTCCATACAGGCCACCAGTACGTAGTGTCACACAGGTTGGCTCATATGAAAATGTTGAAGTTGGTCATTTAGTAGCTGTTAACCTCCAGAACTATAAGCCCCCAAACATTGCTGAGGTCGTGGCTAGAACTGATAAAGAGTTCACAGTTAAATGGTTCAAAGGTGGCTACAGAAAAGAGTGGAAACCAGACAACAGATGGCCAGAATGTTCCATACCCCAACAAAGTGTTATACTATATGGTTTTTCACTTGAAAACAACAGGTTCACCGCAGATACAGCAAAGTTTTTACGAAGGGCATATAAAGACGTAGCCAATTAGATTATCCTCATGATTTCGTCCTCAATAGAAACGCATTGAACACTAGAAACATAGTTTTTAAGCTATACTAGGGACCTTGTAAAATGACAGAGAAATTTATGTGCCACTAGCTATACTATATGTCTCTAGTAAAATGGCACAGAAATTTCTGTGCCACTATCTATACCAGGTCTCTTGTAAAATGGCACAGAAATTTCTGTGCCACTAGCTATA